TTTCAGCTGTCCACACCACAGCAGTGGGCAACGAGCTTAAAGCCCCTGATGGCTCTGGGCGCTGACTCTCACCAGTGGCTGTACAGTCGTCTTTTAAGATGGAACCATTTTTATTTTGCAGAAAGAGAACTTGTACTGGAAGTTGAGAGGATGAGGCTTGAACATGGAATAAAACGTCGAGACAGGTCACCTTCTCGTTTAGATACATTTCTAAAAGGCATAGAAAAAGAACGAGATTTTTATAAGAAGGAGCTAGAAAAACTTCAGCATATAATACAGCGAAGATCTTGTTCTGCACGTGAAAAATATCCCAATTTAAAAACACTGGAAAAACATCACACTTCGAAAACACCAGAGAAGGTAATATTTATTTATAACAATAACTCATTAACAAACTTTTCTGTTTTAATTATAATATTAAATGTAACATAATGCATACTCACTTAGGAACTCTTCATTAATTTCAATACCTGCTTTCTTCCATGACCTGGACTGTAGGAGCATTTTATTAGTTAGTTAAGGTCCTTAAGTACAGAGAGTAACGTCCTGATTCCTGGAAACTCAAGATTGAATCACCATGGCTTGGGAACAGTGCAGAGGTTAGCTGGGCTTCTAGAAACTTCTAGTAACTGCCTAAGGTTTCCTTTCTCTCTAGGCTGTTATCAGTTGCATTTTCTCTTCCAAAGAGAATTGACTTTGTTCACATGACTGACAACATTGCTTCATGGAATTCCCAGCTTTATATCAGTCAAGAAGTTACATTGTACTAACAAAGCATCTTCCGTATTCACTACAGGATGGGAAAATAGTGGAAACTGAAATTGATTATTCCACTTTTTCATTATAAGCACCTTTCCAAGTTGGTAGTCTAAAAATGCTCTTTTAACACCAGTTCATTGTATTTTTTTTAAAAGGGAAAAAAATCAGATTCAATTTAAAGACACAAGTCTGAAATTATTTGCAAAATGTCCATTATTCTTGTGATTATATTTATTTGAAGGGTTGGAGAAAAATGAAAATGCCATTTAGCCTAATAACTTGTAAGCTATCTGCAAGTAAGCTATCTGCAAATCAACTCACCTTAGGACTTGAAGAATCATTTATCATTTCTCAGTGTCAAAATTTATGCAGATTTCTCTTTTGAATATTCTGCATTAAAGATACTGCTGTACACAGTTTCTTCCAAACAGAACAAATTATGTGTTTTAGCAACTAGCACAACATGATCTCTCCAAAGAAAACATTGGAATTAGATAGATAGATAGATAGATAGATAGATAGATAGATAGATAGATAGATAGATAGATAGATATAGATATATATATATCTGTCTATAGATAGATAGATATCTTCATATGTTTCTTTATCAATTTCTGTAGTAATCACAGTTTCTTACACATCTCCCAATATCATATATAACTGTGGATCATCAGCCTTGGCTTTGTTATTAGGAGGGGCCATTACTTGGAAAAAGATACCATTCTTGGAAGAGTGGAGGGTCAGTGAAAGAGAGGAACATTCTTAAGATGGATTGACATTGTAGCTATAACAAGGATCAAGTGTCTCCAAGATGCTCAGGAGGCACAGCATAGGGCAAGGTTCAGATCTGTTGTCCAAAGGGTCGCTGTGTGTCATAGTCAATTAGACAGCACGAGTAATCTTCCTCAGAGCTAGCTCTCAGTCGTTTGGCATTTCCATGTAAATTTGCTCATCCAGGCTGCACCTGATGAGATCCAGAGGCTCCTCTGCTGTGTTGGTAGTTTGTTGCTGATAGCCGTTCTAATGCCAGCTTCAAGACAGTATTCTTCAGTGTATCAGGAACACTATATCTGATGTTGGTGGAGTGCCTTCCCTACCTGTTCCCCACTTGACTTTCCTCCTTTTATTTGAATTTGAGCTGGTCCACATCGTCTTCATGTTTTAAACCCTTTTATTGGTATTATTTTTTTTTTACAATATCTTTTAGACAATCTTTATTATTGTATTTTATATAATCATTCATATACACTGTATTTTATAAAATCAATCATTATTGATCTATGCTTGTTATTACTCCATCTTTGAGTCCCCATCAAATATTTCCTATTTCTTCACCGCACTCATCCACTCACTAAACTCTACTATGTAGTGATTTCCACCCTTCTTTAGGGAATTTATACACATCTTACACATTATCCTTCTATTTTTACAATAATGGTTTTATGCAGTATTTGTCCTTTAAGACTGAGTTAGCTCACTCAGTAAAATGTCCTGCAGGCTCTCCTATATTATATAATATTTTACTAAATTGCTACTCCTTGGTGCTTCACAGCATTCCATTGTGTGAATGTCCCACAGTTTCTCAATCTGTTCCTTTTTTATGAACATTTGGACCGTTTCCATATTCTTGCTATTTTGAACAATGCTGCTATGAACACAAGTGCATATATCTCCATTCATGTTTCAGTTCTAATTTCCTTGGAGTATATTCTTAGACATGGAATAGCTGGGTAATATAGAATTTCTATGTTCAGCTCTTTGAGGAAACACCAAATTGCCTTCTACAGTGGTTGCACCATTTTAAAATCACCAGCAGAGCAATCTCTCCACATCCTCTCCAACATTTATTGCTTACTATCCTTTTAAACTTTGCTGCTGCTACTGGAGTGAGATGGTATCTAGTTATTGTTTTGTTACATCTTGCTTATTGTCAGTGATTTTGAGAATTTCTTCATGTGTTTGCTGTCCATCTGAAAGCCTGCTTTTGGGAAAAAGTCTTCCTATATCCTTCCCTCATTTTGTTATTAGGTTATGAGTCTTTCTTGTGGAGGTCTAGTAGTAGTCTATAAATATTCTTTATGAAAACTTTGACTTCGCTGTTATAGTCAAATTCCCACCCCTGCCCCCCAGTCTTTAGGGTTTTTCACCTGACTGGACAAAGTTTTTGAGATACACAGAGACTTAACTTTTAGAAGGTCTCATTTGTTGATTTTATCCTTTGTGCATTTCTGGCTATATTTACAAACCTAGTTATACCATTTGTTAGAGCTTCTAAGTTTGGTTTCATTTTGTCTTTTGTGATCCTTACGGTTTTGAACTTTGCTACTAGGTTTCTTTTTTTTTTTTCCTTGTATTTTGTCTGCATTTTATTTTTTTTCCTGTAATTATATTTTATTAATTTTCATAAACATTTACAGAGATTTTGGGCTTCCACTCATTCATTGTTGCACTATTCTCTCTACCCTCCTCCCAGTTTGTTCTTGTCCAAATGCCACAGTGTTTGTCAAAGCCAGTTCTGATTAATCTTCTTTGTCAGTGTGTCCTTTGCCATTCCCTATCACTCCTCCCTGAGAGAGACTTCACCCTGAGTCATAAGGAAAAGGGGATGGCGTATTCTCTTAGCTACTTCCTGCTGAAAAGGGACGCTGTGGGTTTCAGGGTGAAGATCTTCTCTCACTACTCTAAAGGGCCCCTTTGGCAGTAGGAAACACATAGACTATTATGGAGATTGATTGTGGAATTTAGATGCACTCTTATTGATTGTGCTTGGCCATACATGTTCATATCCTTGAAGATGTATCATGGGGGTGTTGCAACCTAGAAGACACAAATTTGACTAACAAGTTATAAGTACATGAGTCAAAAATTATGGAAAAGTAAAAGAAAAGGTTCTTTCCTTGTTTTACAAACCCTCCCCCAGGTCCCCTCCACCATGTAGCCCTCGCTCTAGACTCCTGTCATGACAGAAATACCTAGTTATATATCTCTTTTAAACAGTTTTCTCCCTCCTCTGTTTGAGTGCAGTATACATTATTGAACCCATCTTACTCAGTCTCTCCCCAACCCCAAGGACAGTCCCATTCTACAACAGTGGCATCATGTAATATTTGTCCTTTTGTGACTGGGATATTTCACTCAGCATAATGTTCTCCAGAGTCAACCATTTTGAATAATATTGCATGAGTTCCTTGGTTTTTAATACAGCATAGTATTCCATTGTGCGAATATACCACAGCTTCTCTAGCCATTCGTTTGTTGATGGGCTCTTAGGTTGTTTCCAACTCCTTGCTATTGTGAACAAAGCTGCAATAAACATGGGTGTGCATATATCTGCTTGGATGTCAGCTATGGTCTCTTCAGGGTATATTCCCAGTAGTGGAATTGCTGGGTCAAATGGTATCTCTATTTGCAACTTTTTGAGAAAGCGCCATACTGCTTTCCACAGGGGTTGCACCATTTTACACTCCCACCAACAGTGAATCAGGGTTCCAGTTTCTCCACAACCTCGCCAGCATTTGTTGCTTGCTGTTCTGTTAAATTTTGCTATTACTATTGGTATTATTTTAAATGAACTATATTTCATGAGAGGCAAAAAATCATGTTTCTTTTTTAGGTTTTAATTGTTTTTAGTTTTAGGATTATTAAATTCTTCAAATATTTTTTTCCCCCAAGCTTCTTTGCTTTGGAAGTCAGAGAGACATTTATGACTATAGCATTATCTACATTTTAAATACAATTCCAGGGAATTGAGGGAGAATTCATTAAAACTCAAAATATTAGCTGAAATATCAATTTCATAGTTTTGTTCATAAAGATCTTCTATCCACTATCAAGCAAGTTCAAGTCTTTTTCTTCTTAGATTTTGATTTTTTTAACCTTATTGGCTGATGGCTGAATTTTGTATACAGTTGTCAGTGTAACTACTGTTATATATTATCAGAATTGGTAGATAGAAATAAACAGTGTAAGTTAATACACACACACACACATACTTAAAACCCCGCAGCAAAAAAAGTTGTTTTAAAAATATAAAGAGGACTTATTAAATCATTGAATTTCATAATTTTCATTATATAGAAAAGTTTCTTTCTTTGACTACTAAACAGCAATGAGTAGACACATATTTCTGAGTGTTTCATCTAAATTTTTATTCAGTGATTCCACTGTTGAGAGAAACAATATTGGTAAGGTAGGAGAATTAGTAAATTAGTTATTTTTCTGAACTTTAGAGTGTCAACACAAATTACTAACATAGGAGTGGGTAGTAAATAGATGAATGAAATGAGTTAACTAAAGAGTGTTTGCTCTATCTAAAATGATATAACTTGAAGTATACTTGGAAACAGTTTGTTGACAAACAACCAAAAAATCCCTGTAAAGATTTTATACTTGATGTGAACATTTTATTGTTACGTATCATCGAGTCAGGTATGACTCATCGCAACCCTCTCAGCAAGAGATCTGAATTTTGTCCTATCCTGTGCTGTTCTCACAATTCCTGACACACAATAGCCCATGCTGCAGTCACCATGCCAATCTTCCTGGTTGGTAGTCTTCCTCTCTTCTGGCATCCTTCCACCTTCCATTGACTAGCCTTCCTCTCCAGTGAATAGCCTCTCCTCGCAGCATGATAAGAGTATGTGAGATGAAGTTTTATCATCATTGCCTCGAAGGGCACTCTGGCTGCACCTTCTCCAAGACATACCTGTTTGTTCTTTTGTCATTTCATGGGATAATCTATACTCTTCTCCATTAAGAAGATGGAGGAACAGTGAAACTCGCTTTGCATTCAAGTGAACATTTAGCATAGACATAGTTTGTTGGTATGTAATAACTCGGAAAAATGTTGACATTTTTAGTATTGATGATTGCATCATCAACAATGCACCTGTTAATTCATTATTGTCTATGGGAGTCCCTGCTTCACCTTATCTTCACCATGGTTCCCACTGTGTGTTGAGTTTAATGTAATGGGAAGTACTTTGAAGCTGGGGACCTGATTTAAATGAGAACTCTGCAAACTGGCATTATAACTTTAAAGATACTTCTTAACTCCTGGAGCCTTGGTTTCCTCATCGGCAAAGTGAAGAAATAACTGCAGCCTTTTGTAAAGATTACATGGAAGATTGCAGAAGGCTGCTAGAGATTGAGTTGTTGTTGTTGTTGTTGTTGTTGTTAAGTGCTTTCGAGTTGCTTGTAACTCATAGCAACCCTGTGTACAACAGTTCTGAACCCTTCTATTCTCTGCCTACCTTATCGTCTCTAACACACCCACCTCCATTAACCTAGTCACTGAGTCATTCCATCTCATTAAGGGTCTTTCCCCTCTTGTGCTGTCCCTCCACACCCCAAGCATGATGTCCCTCTCCAAGGACTGGTCTCTCAGCATGCCCAAATATGTCAGAGGAAGCTTTAGAATCCTTGCCTTCAAGGAATAGCCTGGTTTCACCTTCTTCAGGATGAACCTGTTTATTCTCCTAGCGGTTCATGGTATATTAAATACTTTCCTCCAGCACCACAATTCAAAGACATCAGTTCTTCTACCATCCCTAGTCATTGTCCAGTTCTCTGATGCATAGCAAGTAACTGCGAAGACCATGGTCTGGATCAGGCATACTTTGGTCTCCAGACTGACATCATGGCTTTACAGTATTCTGGAGAGGTCCCAGACAGCAGATTTTACCAGTGCAATTAGTTTTTTTATTTCCTGGCTGCTGGTACCAAGAGTGGATCAAGTTATTTCCTCCTAAAGATGTGGTGAAGTTCTAACGCCTATGACTGAATGTAATCCCATTTGAGAATGATTTTTCATTATGTTAATGTTGCTATATAAATTGTGTCTTAAAACTAATGACACATACGATATAAAAGAGCAGATTAGACGCAAAAGCAAGAAAAACTAATGGGAGATATATGCCATGTGGAGATGTCCAAGGAATACAGCGAATGCCATGACTAGAGAAGTTGAAACAAGGATTCACACACACACCCCAGAGTAAAACAGAGTTTCCCCCTTGGGTTGGTACCTTGAATTCAAACTTCTAGGCTCATCTTGAGCTGTGAGAAAAAAAAACTTCTGTTCTTTAACATCAACCACTTGTGGTATTTCTGTTACAGTCACAGCAGGAAGGTCAGCTATAGGTGGGTTTCAGCTCAACAGCATACAACAACATAGTGACCCTGTGAACAACAGATCTGAACCTATTCTATCCTATCCCATCCTCATAGTCTCCAATACGTTTGATACCATTGTTAACAGTCATTGTGTGTATTCATTTTGTTGAGGGTCTTCCTCTCTTTCTCTGATCCTCCACATTTCCTAGCATGATGCCTTTTTCCAAGGATTTGCCCTTCCTGACAACATGCCTAAAGTACGTAAGGTGAATAAGCATCCTTGCCTCTTGAGCACCTTGGTTGCAACGTGTTTCCTTCAATGCAGACTTGTTTGTTCTTTTGCTAGTCCATGGGATATTATAATCCAGGAGTTCTCAAAAATTATCATACATTAGAATCACTTTGAGTTGGTTTGGGATAGGTCCCATATTTTACTTATCTGCCAAGTTCCTTGATGCTGATACTGCTGATCTGGTAACTGTACTTGAAGTAGCACTAGTATGAACAGTTGGAGGAGGAGTTGAAAATTCTGGTGGCATCTGGTTAAGTACTATCATGGGAAGCTGGCACCTTCCTGGGACCCTGAAGGCCAGGAAACTTGCCCCAGTGTTGCTCCTGCTTTCTAGTGCTCTTGTGTCCTGCTTTCATTCTTGATTTGAAAAAAAACTTCAATAAAGAGTCACTGGGGGTGCAAACTATTAACCATCTTGGCTGCAAACCAGAAGCTTGGTAGTTTCTTTGCAGAGGTACCTCTAAAGAAAGCCTAACCACTTAGGAACAATCAGCCTCTGAAAACCCAGAGTAAAACCACCATTCTACTCTGACACACATGGACTCACCTTAAATTGGAATGGGATACAGGCAGATGCTTTGCCATTCACAGCTAGCATCTTATGATCCTGTGACAACCATGGTTTGGTAATTACAAAAAATGGTAACTTCTGTTTTTAATTCCGTTTCAGGGTGATTACAATGCAGACATTTGTCTGATTACAAGAGAAAGAGATGAACTTCATTGTATGCTGGAAAGATTTGAAAAGCATATGGAGGAAATACAGTCCAATGTTAAATTACTGACTGCTGAAAGAGATAAACTAAGTGTCTTATATAATCAAGTAAGAAGTTGATTATACCCGGACCAAAGGATTATATAGAACCAGCTGACTATAATTAAACCACTGTGTCTTCAGATTACTCTACTGCTGTGAACCTTGTGGTAGTAGTCCTCCTTGATTAGAATTATAGTCATTTCTACTATGCTGCTCCCAAAGCTGAACCTTCTTTTATTTTTCTGTATTTACTCTTTCTATATTCTACATTATCTGTATGTTTGTATCTGCTAGAGATAGTATTGTACAACTTCCTAGACCAGGTCTTATATTCTAAGTGTATCTTTGCGATTCAGCTACGTTGGGATATGGCCAATGGAGTGATAAGTTGAGTTTAGTTGACTTTACTATTTAAATATACTGGATACCAAGAACTGAGCCTTTGGTTTAAAAAATATATCTGTCTGTCTATATCTATCTATTTATCTATCTATCTATCTATCCATCCATCTATCCATCCATCCATCCATCCATCCATCCATCTATATCTTTAGGAAAGAGAGGATCAAAGCCTCCAATGTCAGAGGGCTAGGTGAGTCTGAGCATAGGATGATATATATTACCTAAATTTGTTTGCAGATTGTTCTCCTATGAGCTTCTGCTTCTACTTTGAAAGAAGGACAGGCAAGTTAAAGGTCAAATTGAAAGAGTGTTTTTCACACTTTGAGCTTTGCTTGGGTTTTGCAGTGCAAAGTTCTAAGGCCGTACCAACGTGAATGTCCTCCATCTTCTCTGATCTTGGAAGCTGTGCAGAATGAGGCCTGGTTAGTACTTGGATCAGAGAACACCTGAGAATACTAGATGTTGTAATCTTTTAGGTTCTTGCAGTATAATCCAAAAGGAGATGAGCTTCTAAGGTTGTGCCTTTCTGGTGGTTCAGATCTACCAGTGGCTCTGTAAGACAAAGATGGAGAAGCTCCTTTCTTGTGATTTACAGCCTTGGAATCCCAATGAAGAGTCAACCATGAGTCACTTCTGATTTGGGGGCAGTATGGTTTTTGAGAGGTGTGTGAAAAATGATTTGCTTTTTTACTTCTCCATTGTCAGCTGAGATTCCCACATTCCTGAATCTACCATAGTTAATTAATACTTTCCCTCTGCTTTCTAGTTGCCAGAATTTTATGGCTAATACTTCACTCAACAACGCTTTTCATTTTACTATTTCTTAATTCTTTTGTTCTCATTTGTTGAGAATTGAGGAGAGAGCAACAGTAACATGTATTCACTGTATATTTTTGTTTTACCTGGAACCATATCGAAAATGTTTTTTTGTTTTGTCTTTTGTGTTCCTAAAGGCTCAAGAAGAATTATCTGCACTGAAACAGGAATCCACCAAAACAGTCTCCTCAAATATGGCTAGTCTTATGGAGCAGGAAAAAGAGCATATTTTAGCTGAATTGAGGAGGATTATGGTAGAAAAGGATACTTTAAGAGAAAAGTTAAAAGTAAGTTTTTTTTCTTTTTATGATTTTTTTTTATTAATGAACATTTACAGAGACTTTGGATTTCCATTCATTCATTGTTGCAAAAAGTGTTTTAATATCAATAAAGAGATCCCTTGGGGCACAGTGATTAAATGTTCAGTTGCTAACTGAAGGCTTTGTGATTTGAATCCATCAGTCACTTCAAGGATCTGAAAAAGGAATAAAAGTGCTTAAACATTATAAGAGTAGTCTTGATGATGACCTCTTTAATTTATCCTAATCTGTTGGAGAAAAGGTAGGTTCTTATATACATTTTTCTGAGAAGCTAATATTTAGAATTGATACATTAATTTTTCCCATTTCAGCTAACTTCCAATCTGGGCTCTACCACCACAGTACTATAACTATCCTCTTTGTTAAGTGTTCATAGGGTTTTCAAAAGTCTATTATTTAGGAAGCAGCTGGCCCATCCTGCTTCCTAGTCTGTCTTAATAAGGGAGCTCCACCAAAACTTGTCCACAACAGGAAACCTTTTGGAATTTGACACACCACTGGCAAAGATTTCAGTATCACAGCAAGCCCAAGTAATCGCAGTACAGCCAACTGACAGACAGGTGCTGCACCGCTTAGTGCAATGTTCTTTTAAACATGCTCAATAGAAGGAGGCAAGAATGATGAGGCTTTGCTTCACATACTTTGGACATATTGCTAGGAGGTGCTATTCCTTGGAGATGGACATGATGTTGGGAAGAGTGAAGGGTCAGCAGAGGAGAAGAAGACCCTCAGCTAGGTGGATTGGCAAGGTAACTGCTGCAAATGGCCCTTTTATGTCAGGAAGTGAGGATGGCACAGGACAGGACTAGGTTCAGATCTTTTGTTCATAGTGTCACTATGAGTCATACGCAACTCAAAGGCACCTAACAACAACAAACAATATTTTTGAATGTATAGCTGTTAATCATAAGTTGGCATACTATAGCAGTGGAGTCAAATTAGCTCTCTGCCTATTTTTGTATTTTCATGAACTAAAGATGGTATTTACATTTATTAAATGATTGAAAAGCATAGCAAGTGAATACCACTGCTTCATGATATATGGTAATAAGAAAGTCATATTTCATTGCCCCTTAATAAAGTGTTAGTAAACTTAATTGATAGGAACATCATGAGAGATGGAGTATAGATTGAAGTTGTCAGTCATTGCATCTTACTTGGATCTACCATCAACATCTTTTGTACCAGCAGTCAGGAGACACATTGCCTTGGGAAAGTCTGCAGTCAAGGGCCTCTCCAAATTACTGAGGAGCAGTAAAGTTAGTTTGAAGACTAACGTGTACTTGATTCAGGCCATGGTCTTTTTAGTCACTTGCTGTGCATCTGAAAGCTGGACAGTGCATAAGGATGGCAAGAGGAGAATTGATGCCTTTGAGTTTTGAGTACTAGAGATCCCATGGAGTGCCCAAAGAACAAACACATTCTTGGAGAAAGTGCAGCCAGAATTCTTCATGGAAGCATAGTCAGTTGTGCCTAATAACTACAAATAAAGTTCTTGGGATTCCACATTTCTTGGTTTACATATCTATGACTTCTTTGGGCAATAGTGGCAGAAATGAGTAGTTATAGCAGAGACTGGCCCACAAAACCTAAAATTTTCATTATTTGGAGAAGTGTTGACTATCCTATAGACTGCCAAAAGAACAAAATCTGTCTTGCAGAACCTACAACCAGGGAAGGATGGTGAAACTTCCTCTCACATATGTTAGGCATGCTGTCAGAGGAGTCAGTCCTTGGAAAAAGACAACATGCTGGAAACGGTGAAGGATCTTTGAAAGAAGTAGACTTTCAACAAGATGGATTGGCATAGTGACTGTACCAATAAGTTCACACATATCAGAGATCATAAAGATGGTGCGTTAAAGGACAGGCTTCCAATCTCTTGTTCATAGAGTCTCTATGAGTCCATTGATTCAGTGACATATTACATCAGTATACCCTGTGTTAATCCTGTTTTATTAGCATAAGAAAGCAGATTTTGATCGCATGGAATTCTGATCACTGGCATAAGGTTAGAATTTCTATTTTGAGGCTCATAAATGATTCCAGAAGAAAGATGAAAAGATAGTCTTTTAAAACAAATTTTCGTTAAAATTTTATCCTAACAGTTAAGTTTAAGATTGCTTTTGGATAAGATCTTTTATAATACTGTCTGCAAAAAAGTTCTCTGACTAAAAAAATCTTTACCAAAAGGAAAACTTCTGTGCAGTATAGTAGTTTCTGTTGTTAGGTGCCATGAAGTTGATTGAGTACAACTCGTAGTGAGTACAGACAAGTGATCTGAACCCTGTTCTATCCTGTGCCATCCTCACCATCTCTGACACACTCCGCACATTGCTGCAGTCACTTTATCACTCCACCAACTTCACAGTCTTCATCTTTTTCTTTCCTCCCCTCACCTACCCAACACCCCGCACCATCCCAAAAATGATTCCTTTACAAGGAATAACCTTTCCTAGCAACATGCTCCAAGTTTGTGAAACAAAGCTTCATCATCTTTGCCTCCAATGAGCACTTTGACTGCACCTTCTCCAAGATATATCTGTTTGTTCTTTTGGCAGTCAATAGGATTTTCAGCACTCTTCTCCAACACCACAGTTCAAAGACATCAATTCTTCTGTTATTTTTTTCATTGTCCAGTTCTCAGATGCGTATCAAGTGACTGAAAAGATCATGACCAGAGTCAGGTGCACCTTTGTCATCAAACTGATATCATTATTCTTCAATTTGGCGAGGTACTTGACCACAGCCTTACCTAGTGCAATACATCTCCTAATCTGACTGCTGGTACCAAGTATTTTGGTTGTGGATCCAAGTAAGGTGAAGTTGTAGATAGTCTCAGTCTTTTCTCTGTCCATCCTGATGTCTGTCAGTCCAGTGGTGAGGAATTTTGACATGCAATCTATATTGAAGGCTTCAGTTTTTAACTTTCTGAGATAAGTACTTCTAGTCCTTCTAACTTTTAGCAAGCAAGTTATGTCATCTGCAAACTGAAGTTTATTGATGAGTCTTCCTCTAACCCTTATGCCACATTTTTCTTAATAGATTTCAGTTTCTTGAATAATTTGCTCAGTATATAGATTGTGCATGGAGAAAGAATACAACCCTGACACAATTTTTGTTTGTTTGTTTGTTTTTTTCATTTTTAAACCACATAGTGTTCCCTTGCTCTGTTGGTGCAACCTCTTGGTCTACGTACAGGTTTTGTTCTGGAATTCCTGTTCTTCTCTATGTTTGCCATAATTTTGTTAAGATTTACATAGTCAAATGTCTTTGCACAGTCAGTAAAGCACAAATATAGACAGTCATCTGATATTCTTTGCTTTCAACCATAAATACTGCTGAGGATCAGAAATGGCTAGAACAACAGTACATAGAGAACTGCCAGACATTCAAACTGGATTTAGAAAAGACCATGGTGCCCCTGTGGCTGTGACACATCACTGCCAATGTCAGATTGATCATTCTGAAAGCAAAGAATACCAGAAGAATGGTAGTTTTTAGTATAAGCTAATAATTTAACATTTCCCCTTATTTGTTGAAATAACAAGACTATTAAAATAAGATGTAAAATTAAGAGCAAAGAGAAAGTTAACATACATTTTGCTACATCCCTTCTGAGTGGTAGAAGGTAGAATAGACTAGATCTTACTTCAAAACTAAACCAACTGTTTTAATCCTTAAGCCTCCTCCACTGTTACTGTTACTTCCCTGTCACTAGTTGAATCCAGGTACCGTCACTGACTCCTTGCTCTCCGAAAAGCTAATTTGTTCATCAGCTCTTATTGATGCTCCCTTTACATATTCCTGTCATTTATTAAACCTTTCTCATTTGTGAGACTATATTCTAAGTGATCTACATGGGCTTTTCAGATAGATACTATTTGCCAGTAAAAACCCAAACTCAGTGCTGTTGAGACCAAACCTACTGATAGCTGACCCTCCAAGCAGGTTTCTGGAGGCTGTAAGTCCCAGGGGAGGAGATTACCTAGCTTTCTCCCATGGAACCACTGGGGAATTTGAGCTGCAGCGGCCTTTGGATCAGCCAGACAACTTCCTACGAACTATTCTTCCAGAGTTTCCTTTTTATTTACAGTAAGATCTCTGCATATTATTGAGGTTAAATAAGTCACTAGATATGAAGCTGTAAGGAGTCTGGCTCACAGCACTGCTCCTCTGGGACTCTGTTTACTTAGCATTTCCTTACTTCCCTTCTGTTCAGGCCATTATTGTGTCTCACCTTCTTTGCTGTATAAGGGACCTCTATACTTCTAGTCTTATGCTTCATTCAGATCTATATTTCACTCTGGAGATCTTTTAAAAATAGAAAACTGATCATATAACTTTCTGATTAGAGTATTTTGTTTTCAAGTACCTCCATGTTTGACCACCTTTGAAAAGGTGATAACCTATTTCTAAATTGTTGCTTCTTTAAAAAACTCCACAAAACCCAAAGATGAGATTAGAAAGACAGGAAACAATACTACAGGGCTATGCAGGAGATCAGAGTTCCAAACGTGGGAGCTCATGTTTCCGAGTCTAGAGTGAATTACACTGGTAACCGCAGGGCCATGCATCACCAGTGGTTTCAGTCTACCATCACCTCCATGGGAGAAGGATAAGCAGCCTTAGCAATCCCATGTAGGGTTGCAGTGAGTTGAAACCAGCTTGAAGGTCATGAGTAAGTGATGAAAGAACTCAGAGTTCCAGGAATGGGCTGGTCAATAAGAGCTGTTTTTCTGATATTTTACCTTAACCAAACCTTTGCTGCTTCTAAACCAAGGATTAGTACAAAAAGGAACTACTTTTCTCCAACCTCAACTCTCTCTGCCATACCTTACTCACCTCAGGGCTCCAGGCTTCCTGAATATTTTCTTGCCTCCAAACCTACGCAGAGTGTTGACTGGAAAAACACCTTACCTCTTTTCTGTCTTCTCTGAGTGATCCTAAGTTAAACATCATTTCTTCAGACAATAAATGAACACTAAAACTATAGAATCCCTTTTTATATGTGGAAATGAATTTCCTTTCACAGCAAAATATCCCAGAATTTTATTTTCACTCTTTGCTTGAGATTTATCTTTTCTGCTAAGCTGTGCTGATGTCAGCTGTAAGCTTACTGAAAGCAGAAAATACCAGGAAGATATTTACCTGTGTTTTGTTGACTATGCAACAAAATCCATCTGTGTGAATCCTAACAAATGGGTAACACTGCAAAGAATACAAATCCTGAAACCTTAATTATCCTTTTCGGAAACCTGTACTTAGACTAGGAGGCAGTCATTGGACTAGATCAAGGAGACGTTGTTGTTGTTGTTATGTGCTGTCGAGTCGCCTGCGACTCATAGCGACCCTATGTACAACAGCCCTAAACTCCGCTCTGTCCTGTGCCAATGGCACTGTCTCTGACACTCCCATCCCA